CTTGTCCTTGTTCAGCCCAACTCAGAGATGCGATCCTGTATCCGGTGTCTTGCATCAGCGGACTGTCATGATCTTGCTTCTCAACAATGTTGCTTCGGTTTTACCTGAAACCACATAACTTTTCCTGTATCTTAAAGTCAGTCATTCCACAGCACCTCCTATCTAACACATTTGCATAGACTTTAGCGTGGAAGCTTAATAAGGTGATGCCTCTATATATGGCGTACTCCCTATGGTCTCCCCCCTTGAACTGGAGTAGTACAGCTTCTGTTCTCCAGTCCATTGTGCCTACCCTGTCTGGTGCCATTATTCACGTCAGGCAAGGTTGCAGGGAAAAGTGCTGACAATAATAACTTAAAGTCGAAAATTGGACATATTCTGAAGTTACCATTGATAGCTGTTGTAAAAATGCAATTGACTGAATTCATTCACTGAAGTGGTATTTCCCTCTCGGGAATAAAGTTAATTTCTTCAGATCTCTAGCACAGGGTCATTTGTCACCGTTCGGCAACAAGGGGTCAGAAATTATAACGTTCAGTTTCACCTCGTTAATGGCTCGGAAACCGTTCTGCCCATTCATGCAATTTCGCTTCGACTCTGCTGTCAAAGTGATCAAGTGCTCCTCGTAAGAAAACCGTCAAAATTTGTGGTCTCTGTGTTTTTATGCACTTCGTCGCTCGTAATGAGATGGTTTTTTATTTAATGAAACGCGCGACCGTTGGCCATTTTTTTATAAAGTTTTTTTCATTTTTTGGTTTCAATTTTGGCTGTCACTTAACGCCAACCTTTGCTATGGGGGCCGCTTCATTGTCACGAGGCTAATTGCTTTCAAAATGTCGAGCGTCCAAATTAAAAACAGCTGGTTGCAGCGCAGTGAACAGTCGTTTGAAGAAAAGCGCAATTTACGGGCGATAACATTAAACAACCCATCAGTCAACGCATCTTCTAATTGAATCAAGCACCTTTCATTATTCGTTGAAATTTAAATTTAAAGAGCGATTCCAGATTTAAAGTCTTCGCTCTGTTATTTATCTCATTTCATGAGGTAAGCGCTAAATGTCTTTATCGATTCATCTATTGTAGGTAGATTTCAGGAGTAGAGTCAGCCGTTAAGATCTGGCTTACGGGTTGGCATAGCGTCGGCTGAAAACCAAGCGCGAGGTCCCAGTTAGAGCATCGATCAAATCTCTCGTTTTTCTTCATTCCAACGTTGGCAAATGAGTTCCACCCTGTGGGAAAGAAACATTTGACCACAGCACATCATGCTTGCTACATAGCTGATGTCGAATCTACCTTTGAAATAAGGCGCTTTCGGTTGATTGGAAATGGGGATCAGCGCTGCACCCTTGACTTCATGAAAAGAAGGGCGCCAGAAATGACCCTATCGTGAAAGTGTGAGGAAGATCGACATTTCAATTGTTGCAAACTCTCCATCGTTAAGGATTCTGAATCGATTGAGGGTCTAAATTACGAAGCATTTTCGTTTCTTCCGTCTGGGCTGGTTGTCCGAAGGTCCGTCTTACATAAATATAACTGCCTTAAAAGTATGCGAAGTTTCGTTAACTTCGGCTACCGCTGTTTTGTTGGCCAAGCGTTTCTGGAATCAAGTAGTACCAATCAAGTAGTCGGCTCAGGAATACGCATCTGCGGTGATTAGTCCTTTGTCCTCTGATTTTAGTCACGTATTCAGGGCATCTGCAATACGCACGAAATATATGGCAAGACTGCCTTTGTTATTTCCATTCTTTTCAGATTTAGCGCGCCGGTACTCCAAAGACATGTATTACTCGTTCAAGGCATTTGCGCTATTCTGGGCGGGGGGATCATCATGAAGCTAGCTTATGCATTTCATTACCTCGAAAGGCGGTCCTTCACGACACGCCTGCAACATATTATCATATTATTGCAGAATCTATTGCAGCATTTGGTCTCCTGTATGCGGTGAGTGAGGTCTGAAATCCTCATTATAAAACTGCGCAGAACAACACGGTGTTCCTGTGAAGTCTGCGCGGCGGAAACAACTGTCTCGCTGGGGCGTGATGGCACAGTGGTAAGGAGGTCGATTTCGAACTCAGGAGATGCCGGGTTCGAGTTTAAGGAAATTACACAATTCACTTAAAAGTGGAATGTGCGCCAGGTTACTTCGGGCAGGCCAGCCGAGAAACGGGTAACAAGTCGTTGAATTGCGAACAACAGGGACAGCATAGTATCCTAGTCTAATAGCACCAACGTGGGCGATAGGTACGACCGTGCTGTCCGATTGTGCGTCTGATTTGACTCCAATTCGCCCTGACCACGTGATATGTAACTTTTATAGTTACACTCAGCATAATTTATAATTTTTAACTGCTTCTCTCTTCGTTCTCGCTGGCTATGTTGCATAATTCCTGTTTCTCGGTGGCAGTCACGTGGCATCGATCAAATCTTGAGAAATTTACGTGTATCATAGCACTCTAAATGTGGTCAAATAAAGAAAGGCAGAAAGTTGTAATTGAGTATACAGAAACTGGATAATATTAATAGATTAGACACAGGCTA